TCTGAATGCAGAGGAGCTGAGGGGTTGAACTGAGTCACATGTTTGAGTTAACTACAGCCTCGTCAGTGTTTCATACATTCAGTATCCTGCTGAGTGCATTAAACTGCTGTACCTGATAACAGTCTGGCAGATGACCTTTCAGGATGCTGCTGATGTCATCTATATCAAGCCCCGCCCCTTTGCTGTCCTCCAATCCCATGGTATCACACAAGATGATTGGCAGAGGTTTGCCTTCTCGTCCAGCTTTCACAGAGTAGGTGCGAAACTGTCAGGGACAAGAAGTGGACCGGGCAGAGCTGTCAGGTTGACATCAGTCTGAGCAGATGGAAATCAGTGGGAGCAGACACTGACCTGTGTGGTGAGGCTGGTGCTGGAGCAGCCAGACATGGCCTGGCTGGTGACATGGCCTCTGAACACAGAGTTGATGGAGTTAAAGAAGCTGGACTTTCCAGCTCCAACTGGTCCAACGAGCAAAACTCGAGCCTGAGACACAGAGCCGACTGTGGGCTTGAAGGTTTTAATGTCGTCCATCAGCTCCGTCCTCTTCCTGCTCAGACAAGGAGATGAACAGGTTTCAGTCTAATGAAGAGGTTGTAAGTTGCTTTGACTGAACTTCTTTGTGCACAAGCAGCTGACCTCTGTGACATCAGTCCTGTTTGCTGGTAAACACTGCAAACAATTTCATTGCATAGACGCCTCCTTAACCCAAAACCTAAAGACTGTGCCCAGTCTAGAATAGGAACTTGTATGTCATGGCCGAGGAATACATTCATTTGAATGATTAAATAATTCTTATCATTACTTCAGATCAATGCTTTGTGTTGATTGTATAAAGTACAATATATTGTATAAAAGAAACACATCATGCACAGAACAGTGAGTCTGTCCATCTTACAGTAATTCCCAGGTTATTGTCCTCCATGGCCTCTCAATCTCAAGTTCAGGGGTTTCTGTTGACGAGCAAAAACAAGTTCCATAACAACCTTGTTCAACTTGATAAAAATATTAGCCTCCCATACAACTCTTTGTAATAATGTCACACGGGACAGTAACAACAGATGGTATTATTATTAATAAAAGTCTTTTATGATGTTAGATTACGTTACTGAATTTTGTTCAGAATGAATTCTGCGTTTATAAAATACTGTGCTAAACACCAGGTAAAACAATAACACTTGAAGGGCGTATCGTCTATAATGTGGAGGTATAAAGCTGCACTACAGTCATATCTCAGTTATCCTAATTAGGACCTCCACAGAGACACCACACAACACATGACTGTGACACGAGGAGAATCTATGAAGCACTGACACCCATTTAAGCCCTTTAAGGGTTACATGTGCTGCATAACATACATTCTAACCTGCCACCTTTGTGATTTTCTAATTGTATTTTTCATCTATAGTGCACAACATTAAATAGAGTGATGTCAATATGGAATTACTTATCTGAAAACTCTGATATACAGTATCTGACTTGCTGCAGTTTTTATTCATTTAGAGGTGGCAATAATCTGTGCTGGGCTGCAGGGTGGCGCAGTTGGTAGCACTGTTGCCTCGCA